GAATGCATTATCTCAGCCTTGCCCTTGGTTTAATCTCAATGCATACTTCTAGAGGCAATATTGCTGTTCATCAACAGGAGATCACTTAGACACCTGGGTCCTCGCTCTTCTTTCCTCCCTCCCTGACTTCTTGATGGTTTGATTTATTTTCTAATTTTCCCATTTAGATACAGATTCTGGAGGCATACATATTTCCCATTTCTTAAATCTAATCAGTTGCCTGATGAGCCCCAATCCTCGGGTTTGGAATACACATAGCTGACCCAGTTTCCCCAACCTCCCTTAGTCACAGTGTATTAAGTCAACTTACTTTGCTTGGTTTTGTAGTCTGTATATCAGACAGTTCATTATGTTCCTCTGTTTAGACTCTTAAAAGCATGATATCCTTTCATATCTTCAGGCATCTGGCTTATGTGCTTAACTCCTTCATTGCTCTATTCTTTTATTTTGCTATGGCAGCTATTAGCACCGGATAAGTTTTTAAAACCCTGAAAGCCAGGTGAAAGATTGTATTTCCCAGGATTGGAGAGATAGCTCAACTAAGAGCACTGGCTGTTCTTGTAGAAGACTTGGTCAAGTTCAGTTCCCAGCATCCACATGGTGGCCAACAACCATCTGTAACTCCATCTCAAGGGGGATCTGATGCCCTCTTCTGGCCTCCATGGGCATTGTATAACACAGGTGCACTTATAGAGAGACAGGCAAAACACTCATGTGCATAAAAAATAAATAAATCAAAAATAATTTTTAAAGATTGTGTTTTCTTACCTTCATTCCATTCTCTTGACAAAATGCATGTGCCCACAGACCAACAAAACAGAGTTTGCTAAGCAATTAAGCTTGCCTCCAACCCTTGAATAGAAGTCTAGACCTTTCTGATACATTTGTGCCACTCAGAATCCTCCAGGATTTCTCATTCTGAGCAGTTGTAGAGTGGGAAGGAGAAGGAGAGATGGAGGGAGGAAAGGAAGAGAAGGAGAAGGGGGAAGAATAGCTGGGGGACTAGCAAGATGAAGACAGGAGGAGAGAGAGGAAAGGAGGGGGAGGGGGAGGAAGAAATATTTAATGTGATGTTTCCATTGTGAGCCTGCGCCTTGAATGGCTGAGCCATCTCTCCAGAAGGAAGGAACTGAATCCACCTTTCTTGGCCTCTGTTTGAACATGAGCTGCACCTCCCTCATTGTATGCTGTCTTGTGTTCTCTGATTAATTCTGCAACAGCACATTAATCTCACCCATCCTCTCCCCTCTCTCCATCTGCCCCACTTTTCCCATCAGTCTCTTTGCGCGTTTATTTGCTCCTTCCCCTTATATACCTCCCCTTTGTTTTCTGCCACCCAACATGCCTTCCTACCCTCTCGGGTCACTGTAAAGAAAAAAATGAAATCTCGAATGTGAAAAGACAACAGCACTGTACAGCGTGATAATGGTGAAGATGTGGCTTCTGCTCTCCAAGGCAGCTGTGTTCTCCTTCCTTCATATCCCATCACATCTTTCAAAGCCAGCTTCATCTTTGCCCTCTCCTCATCATCCTATGCAGGTATCTTCTCTGGTCGTTCTTTCACGTGTCTGTAGTATGATCTTGCTTGGTCCCCTTCTTCCTTTTTCAAGTACCTGGTTTTGACAAAATTAATTCCGTTGCTTCGATTTTGTGATCGGAGGCAGCTGTCTACCCCACCTTTGACTTCTACTGCCTTCCTTTTCTTTCTTATGTTCTAGTCAGAATGACAAGCTCACACAGATTTGTGTAGGCTGCTACCAGATATGTTCAAAGAAGCAGATTTCATTTAGGGTCTTTGCAGCCAGATTATCAATATTTTGCTTTGAGTTTCTTTTCCCTGTTCCTAGCCCATTCTCTTTCCTTTGAGAGGCAGAGAAAAGTAGGTTAGACTAGGGCAGTCTTGACCAGAAGGCAGTGTCAAGATTGATGGAGTATTGTTTTTTAGTGATGAAAGAACTCATTTGTTCATGTGCCAGAGAATAGGAGGGTGAGCAGAGAAAGAAAGGTTGAAGATAAAAGGAGAGCAGAATTTAGAGAACAAACTGATGGGCAGAAAAGGGCACCCCCTTCTGTGGAGAGGGGGAAGTGCAGAGGGGTGGATCAAGGCAGCAAATTGACATTTCTGCGGGGGGGTGGGGGCATAGGTTCCTCAGGAAGGTGAGAGCTAAGCAATTTACTGAAAGACTTAAAGACAGAAGGGAAGATCAGCTCTTCTTCACCTAACAGCACTGACTTGACACAGTGGGCCCTAACAGGGATGACAGAGTATATGGGCTCCAGTGCTCAGGGGGTATGGGAGGGTGCGGGTGGGGATGAGGGTATAAAGATGATTAAGATTGATTGAGCTATTCTGTATGAAAGACACAAAAATTCAATAAAAACAAACTTAAGAAAAGAAAAAGACAGGGGAGAGGTGGTATGGCTAAACACATGAAAAAATTTCCCAGTTAACACTGAGGCTGAGGACTGTGAGTTTTTCGTAGCACCAATTCACTATAGACATTATTTTCTCTTTTACTAATGTTTGGATTCATCTAGAACTAAAGCTTCTAACAGGTCCATAATGGAGATGTAGAAGGGAGCAATGGAGTTGAGGATTATATAAGATCATGGTTCAAATTCAGTATTTTTGGAACCATTAAGTCAAAAAGGTGAAGGTAAAGATCAGAGAAAAATAGAGGATCCAGTAACTTGGGCGTTTCCTGGAAGTAAAGTAATATGTGAATGTGTGTGGACCTGGGAGTATGCTGTGATAGCGTTGGGTAGATATGTAGAAAGAGCAGCTCAGCTCTGGGACAGCCGTTGGTGACAAGAACAACTTGGGTACAGCCCTGGCAGGGAGTAGTGGCAGTGGACTGGTGTGAAGTTCTTTGAAGATAAGAAAGACAAGGAAGCATGCAGCCGGATGTTGACGAACTCTTTCATAACGACATTAAAGTTTACTGGGGCAGTGATGAAAGAGGGGCCAAGTTCTAAAGCTCTTCATGAAAGTCAGTCTCACTGGGAGGCTGGTAGAAGGCACAGAAGCCAGAAGTTAATAGCCAGAAGGTACATGTGTTTTATATTAGCATGGAGAAGAAATTGGCTTCAAGTAGCAAGATAATCCTAGAAAAGCACTCTCCTTCCTCAAAGTCCTTGTCTACACGGCACTCAAGAGAGGGTCACTGGAGCTGTGGTGTCCTCACAGAGACTAGATGGAGGAGGAGCATCCTAGGAGAGGCTAAATGGGGTTTACAGTGCTTTCAGGTGACACAGCGATCTGGAGTGGTAGACAGGTCAGAAAGAGGAGGGTAAGTAACAGACAGAAAGGTAAGTGCATGGAAGCCATAGCACAAATCAGAGTGAATGTGAACCCCTACGAGGACAGCACTACTTAGGGGGACTTGCTCATGATCTAGAAGGTGTCAACAAGCCTCAAGGGTACAAGTGGAAGGACTCTGCACTTTCACCTTACACACCACAAGGCTCACGGGTGACCTAGTCCTAGTTGGCTGAGCATGGAGGAAAGAAAGCCCATCAATTGTTCCCCTTCCCAATATCTCCATTTCTTTCTTGTCAGCCTGGACTAATGCAGATTGATCCAAGCTGACTCTACAATGCCAGGTTTTGCTCCCCCCATGACCCCTCCAGTCTGTAGTTTTCAAACTAATCTTTATTAAGCACCTCTTTCCCATATCCTTCTCTTGCGAATAAAGGAAATAAATAGACTCCTTTGTGAGCAAAAACGTCACAGAAGCCATCTAATAATCCTAGCACCTTTTATCCTGGTGTTTTCACTGGACTTAGTTGTTTATCTCCCCCTTCTAAAGCTGACATCAAATGCATTGCCAGCCAGGATTTATAGAGTTTAATAAAGGTATTTCTTCGATTCATCTCAGTCGAATCTATAATAACTATTTCTCAATATAAAAAGCCATCTACCTTGTATATAGTTGAAGGAGAGGCCACATGTTTTCTTTTTAGTATTTAAAAGAAATATCCAATATTAACTTTTCAAAAAGCTCTCTTACACAGGTGTCAAATTATATCTTCAATTTCACTTCTGGAAGTAAAGTTTTTGTACAAATTTTTATTCTTTTTATCTTTTGCAACATCTTTTTCTACCTTCCTAGGAAAAAAATTGCTTGATGATTCCTTCACAGTATTACACAGCTTTATGATCCATTTATGTAAAGAATGATAGATAACTTTTCCAAACTTTATTGGATTGTGCTAACAGCTAATGTGTAAACAGAATTGGTCCTGTATATTACGGCTATTTTTTTAGATTCTATTTTCTTTGGGCTTGAAGAGCAATTCCTGGGCATTGGCGGAGGTATTTTCTGCTATTATTATTCCTTTATCTTGTTTTCCACACTAACGTCAGAACAAAACATTCACACCAAGACCTGCTCTTTTTTGCCTCTTATCTCTCTCCACTCTATGCAAAATGACAACATAAAGCTTCTTATGTGTTGTGAATAATGAAGGAGGGGCCTTATAGGGTGGAAACCGGAAACCAGAACTAACTGTATCTTGCCTCTACTGGCCACACCTCCCCAGAAGTCCCAGAGAAGACTGAATAGGTATTCTGAAGACAAAGCAAACCAAAGGGGCCACACCCACAAGCTTTCTCATCAGCACTTTGTAGGTAGTGAACCACTACTCAGTCTTCAAGTGGAAGCCCTGTAGAAGTGCATCAGCACCCCAACCAGTCCTGGCAATTAGCTAAGGAAGCAAGGGTGGAGTGTTTGAGCATGGACAACTGGGATTATATATTTATATATTATATTATATTATATTATATTATATTATATTATATTATATTATATTATATTTATCTGGGATTATAAATCTGAAGGATGTAATCTCCTGTCAAGGGAAAGAAAATGTGAGATTTGAGTATGGGTTTAGGTATGCCTAGGTTTGAGAGATAATGTAGGGGTGTGCAATCCCTTAAGAACATTAGCACAGATGATTAGACTCAAGAAATGATCATGACAACTTCATTCTCACTTTAGGAAAAAAACTTGGATATACTTTCAACAATCGGAACTTTCATAACGTGTCTCTGGGGCAAGGACAAGAGGTGGTGGCTGAGGCTGCACTGGATCTGGCTGCCAAGAAAGGTCACTGGGTTATTCTGCAGGTACAGCCCCTCTGCCCTGATCTGGGCCAGTTCTGACCCCTTGCCTATTTGGACTACATCCCGTAGTCTCTAGGCTTCTCTGTGCCTCTTGATCCTCTCACCCACATATCCCTCTATAATTATGTCTGCTTCACTTCCTAATCTCTAATCTCCCTCACCTTCACATCCTCTTCCCCTGGCCTCCTCCAATGACTCTTCTTCCCCTCACCTGTTCTACCACTGTCTCTAAACTGTTCTACTCACAAAAGTGGATTCCATTTTAATGCACGTACAGGAAGTTAGCATTTAGCTGAAGGCCATGGAACTTCCCTCTGTGCTGCTTTTCTGTTGTGTTATATGTTCTCAGTTACTTTAAAGACTAAACTTTAGCCTCTTCACTGGGAGAGAGCTCATGTTGGTGTCTGGAACTGTAGAAATCTACTAGTAGTGAGGTCATAGACCAGGAAAAAGAGAATAAAAGCTACCATTCTGTCAAAGCCTGTCCATGCAACTCTTCAGGCAGCTAGGGCTGGGGCAGAACAACTGACTGATTCTTCTTTTTTCTTTGAACACTCTACAATCAGTCCTATTAGAGCATCCAATGCTATGTTGACTGATTGGTTATAATTTGTGCTTCACTAAATTTCCTTAGAGAAAATTATGTCCTTTATCAACCTTTTCCACCAAGACCACTGCTTTAAACTGCTCAACAAAGGCCTAGCAGGGGCCAAAGATATAGCTCAACTGTTAAGAATGCTTGCTGCTCTTTCAGTGGACTAGAGTTCAGTTCCCAGTACCCCCATTTGGCAGCTCACAACCACCTGTAACTCCAGCTCTAGGGAATCTGACACCCTCTCTGGCCTTGTCAGCACCCACATATATACCACAAACACACATTCATGCACATAAATAAAAATAAAGTCAATATTTTTTTAAGTCTCTTGGGTGGGAAAGGGTGACAAAAAGGGCACTGGGGAAGGTAGATATAACCAAAATATATATTACATCTTTTAACCTGTTGGGTGAAAGACTTCACAAACAAACTAAAGAAAGAATAGCTCCAAAAGCCAGCCATTCACCCATTCTGACTTCCATTGCCAAGAGCTTCAACAGTCTCCTCATTACTTACTCTACTCTGGCTGTTGAGTCTTCTTAATTATCCTGTTATTTACGGGGAGCCCAGCAGCTGAGGGATCTGCCATTCCCTGGAACTCCTTTTCCAAAAGCAGTAGGAATCCCAGGAGAAGCATGCTGATAGCTGGAGTTGCTGTTTCCTCCATGTTCTGGGAGGTATAATTTCCTGCCTCTGAAGATTCATTTGCCAGGAGACCTGCTCCTGGCCACCAGTCTTAGGGAACCCAGCATGGAGGTCTGACTTTGTTTATGAAACTGTGGTTCTGCTTCCAACAAGGTCCCTCAGACAAGGAGTTGAGAGTTTCCCTCCTCAGCACCTAATGGCCACCTAGCATGCCCATATCTTATGTTGATATGGTTTCTGAGATCTCTCAAAGACTGAGCTCAAAGCTCTTTCTTTAATCCCCAGTGACAGGGCATCTCCGAGGGATATTGTTTCTCCAGATGAGCACCGAGCAGTCTGAATGCTTGCCTCTTCTGTGTGAATGAAGCATTGGAGTACTGGCTGGACATGACCTGTCTAAACTGCAGAGTAGAAGTAAAAGAAAAGGATCCCCAAGAATGATACCTCTCCTAGGGACTCATAGCTATTCTGAATTTAAGAATTCCCTGGTGCTGCCAGGAGTGGTGGCACATGCCTTTAATCCCAGCACTCAGGAGGCAGAGGCAGGCTCATCTCTGTGAGTTCAAGGCCAGCCTGGTCTACATAGTGAGTTCCAGGACAGCTGGGGCTACAGAGAGATCCTGTCTCAAAAAGTCAAAAAGACCAAAAAAAAAAAAAAGAATTCCCTGGTGTTGCTGAGCATTGTGGCACATACCTGTAATCCTAGCACTCAGGAGGGAGGTACATGAGGATCTCAAGTTTGAGGACCAGCCTAGGTTACATAGCAGGTTCTAGACAAACATAGGCTAGAAAGTGAAATCTTATCTCAAGACCCCCACCCTCAAAAAACTTCTGGGAAAACAAAAACCCGTTAAGCAATTCACCTTTCAAAATTAAAAAATCCTACATAATACCCTTTCAAGAAGACTCTAAATGATGTCAGCAGTCCTGAGACACCTATGATATAGAAATATTGTTCAAGTCAGTGTTTCTCAAATGGATCTAATGTCTATTACGATGTTCCATGTCACACTAGGAAAAGCTGCCGAGGTCCCTACCTTAGAGCAATCAGTAGTCTTCCCCAGAAGACCTGGCTTCCCAGGACCTGGGAGTGAGTCCAAGGCTCAGGCTGTCCCCACTTTTACTGGTTATAGTAGCTGTGGACTGAGTTTCCCAGGTTCTGGAAGCTTTGGGGATCCTTGAACCCATCCAGAATTCTATCTACAGGCTTGCCCTGCTCTGTCCTGCCCTGGTGGGGAAGTCAGGGTTCCAAAGAACCAGAACCACTCCCAGCCTGCAGATGCTGCCTCCTAATAGGAAGCCTGTCTCTACAGGAAGCCCACTGGAGTCTCTGCTCCAGTAATGTGATTATAAAAAATGAATTCCTTAACAAATTTTCATTTCCTCCACCGCTACTAACTCTCACAAGGCATCTTCTAGTATACAAAGCCCTTTCAAATCCATTGCCTTTGGTTCTTGACAGCTACTCTGAGGTAAGTATAGCAAGCGGTGTTGTTATTTCTCTTTTTATTAAGGTGAAAGCAGCATTGAGAGGCCAAATTACTGTGGTCTAAGCACTGTACTCAGTGCTGATCTGTGTGTTTAAGACTCTGCAGGCCTACTTGCCCAAATATTGATGGAGGAGTCTTTATCTGTCCATCATAATGAAACATAATGCAATGCAGCCAAGGGACCAAACTTACTAAAGTAAAGGTACATTGTGCAAAATAGTGCTAAGTGCTGGTCTTGATATAAAGACAGACAGAAATATAAGAATCAGATATGAGGGCAGAAGACAGGCTCAAAAGCCACAGAGAAGCCTATGATGGGAGTAGGGACCTTTGTGTGGGCCTTTGATAGCAGTGACTCAGCGTGTTTTAGGGGGATAATTTTGGTGGCAATTAGCAGAATGGTTTGGAAAGGAGAGGTGACCCAGGAAATCTAACTAGAGAGAGTTTAAATCAGTGCCTTTCAAACATTAACAGGGACACATATTACTAGAGGGTCTCATTGAATGTGCTGACTCAATAAGTCTGGGTGGGGCCTGAGATTCTGTATTTCTAACCAGCGTCTAGGTACTGTAGCAATGTTTGTCCATGTGCCCCCTTTTGATCACAGAGGTTCAAATAATCCAGATGTCAGACAGTAGAGAATTGGACTTGGAATGTAACTGCACGTTAGACTCAACATGCAATCCCTGTACCAACAGCATGGTACCATCTGGGAGCTTGATGGAAATGCAAATACCCAGGCTCTGCTCTACCTACTGAGCCAGAAGCACTGTGGGAGGGCCCAGAAATCTGTGTTTTAGGCAGTCCTCCATGGGATTTTCATACAGTCAAGTTGGAGAACATAGTGCTAGGAAATGCAGTGATCAAGGGATAGGGTTCAATTACATGGTACTAGGAGGTTCCCATTACTGGCATCCCCAGCTCCTTCTATATTGTGATTTTAGATATTTCTGCCATTGAAAGGCTTGAGCTATACAACAGTCTGGTTGTACATAATGCCCCTGAATGCTTTAAAATGTACATTATAAGTCTAGGGTACAGATAAGTGATAAAGCATTTGCCTAGCATGCATGAGACCTGAGTGTATACACACACACACATACACACACACACACATTATTCTATATTTGAAGATGGTTAAGGTGCTTAAATTTTATACTATGTCTATTTTATTGCTGTTTTTTCAAAATATTGCTTGAAGCTGGACTGGGTGTGGTAGCACATGCCTTTTATCCCAGCATTCAGGAGGCAGAGACAGGCTGATCTCTGTGAGATAAAGGCCAGCCTGGTCTACATAATGAGTCCCGGGCCATTTGACGCTACAGAGATATCCTGTTTCAAACAAACAAAATTGCTTAAAGCTAAAAAAAGGTCGGGTTTCTCCTCTAGCTGTCTTACTATTTACTGTCAATGGAGCTAAGCAAATGCCTCCTTGGGGGTTTTTCCTTCTCAACAGAACATCCATCTTGTGGCCAAGTGGCTCAATACCCTGGAGAAGAAGCTGGAGGAGCTCAGCCAAGACAGCCACCCAGAGTTCAGGATCTTCATCAGCGCTGAGCCTGCACCCTCCCCTGAGGGCCACATCATTCCCCAGGGCATTCTGGAAAACTCCATTAAGATCACCAATGAGCCCCCCACGGGCATGCATGCCAACCTGCACAAAGCCCTGGACAACTTCACTCAGGTGCTATCTGGGAGGAAGGGGAAAAAAGCAACACACACATACACACACACACACACACACACACACACACACACACACACACACACACACACACACATAGAGACACAAACAAACACACACACACACACACACACACACACACACACACACACACACACACACACACACACACACACACAGAGAGCCAGTTCAAACCCAGTGAGAGAAAAGTGTGAGCATGGCCAGGAGTTGGGATGCTGGCTGGGCTACCCATCCTCAGCACTGATGTGGGCAAATATGCTCCCCATACCATTGACCTCTACCCAGTGCTCATTCAGTACCTCCCAGCTCCCAACCTCTAGATCCACTTCAAGGAGCTGAGAGTAGGACTTTTCTTTGGCAAGAAGAATGGAGAAATTTTCTGCAAGTCAGTTAACTAATATTCCAAAATGGAGAATGGCAAGTTGCTGGATATCTAATTGATAGGAAACATTGGGTCACACATTTATTGGCTAAGCATCCTATCTTCAAGCAGGAGGATGATGCTCTCATTCAAATGGAATCATTGGATAGTTGTAACCATCTTGAGTATCAAAGTTTAGATAATTCAGGTATTGGGTAGCAGGATTCTAGGCTTGGAATGTATCCATGAGTTAGACTCCTTGAAAGTGACCTCAGGAGGACCCAGGAGGACCAACCTGGGGACTTGATAGAAATGTATATTTCCATGCCCCACTCCCAAAGGTGAGTCTCGGGTACAGTCAGCTTTGAAAGCATTCTGCTCTAGAGAATAACAAGGCACAGAGTTCAAACCCAGGCTAATACTGTATGAGTGTTGTTTCCATTACTGGAACTGAGGCTCATATTGTGGGGGATTTATTTAAAGCCTGCTCTAGAAAAAAAAAAT